CTCTCGCCTTCAGATCTAATTACAAATCGCAGTCTGGTGGCTGGTCCTCCTTGTAAATACCTACAAAGCCTCCTCTGTGCCCCTGAGCAATCCTTGCACTATCTCCCATCTGTGACCACATGGCTTCCACACTCACAACTGCCAGAACGCTAACACAGAACTTTCTTTTTTTAAATTGGTACCGGGGATCGAACTCACAACCGCACGCTGGCAAGGCAGGCGCTTATACCACTGAGCTAAATCCCCAGACCAGAACTTTCAAAAGAGGGAGATACACAATTGCTTTCCATTACTTCGGATATCTATTCCTGCCTATAATTACTAATGCACTATTTGATTTTTCTTTTTCTTTCTGTCTCTCTCTCTCTTTTTTTTTTTCTTCTGTGGTTTTAATGGGAAGTTAGACTGACAGGAAGGCTAAGAAAAGGGTAGGGGTGAAAAAGGAAACACAGAACAGCAGTTTTGTGAAAAATAAGAAAAATTAGTTTAACCCGTTACTTATTAGGAAAAATCCTGTGTTGTAATTAGTTAACAACACTGCTCGTATCCTGAGGCCATAAAAATCTCTTTCATCGCAATGTGTACAGCAATGGCACAAGAAACATCTTCTTTCTTCTTTTTCTTTTCTTTTCTTTCTTTTTTTGGGGGGCGGGGGGGGTATCAGGGATTGAACTCATGACCTTGCACTTGCCAAGCAGGCCTGTGCCACTGAGCTAGATCCTCGGCCTTTCTCTTTTTTTTTTTTTTTTTTTTTGACAGCATTTTGCTATGCAGTTCAGGGCTGACTTTGAACATACTTTGTCTAGTGATCCTCCTGCTTCAGCATCCCAAGTGCTGGGATTAGAGGCAAGCACCCTCACACCCAGCTGGCTGGCTGGCTTTCAACAAGGTCTTCCTCTGTAATTGAGACTGGTCTTTAACTCACTGGCTGGCCTTGAACTTGCAGTGATCCTCTTGTCTCAGCCTCTCAAGTGCTGGTATAACAGGTGTGCACCACCACGGCAGGCTCCTGAAAAACCTACTTCAAAAGATCCCAAGAATAATCTTTTTCTGATCATGTGTTGCCCTTCTGACAAGTTCTACATCTATCTGTTCTATATCCAAACCGAGGGCCCCAGTGCTATCAATCTTGAGTCTCTTGCCAGAGAGCCACATAGCCTGCAGAGATGCACAGGAGGCACACACTTGAGGCCCAACCAATCACTTCAACCTCTGAGCTTCAGTTTCCTCATCCATACAACAAAGAAATCAACCCCATTCATAAAACCATTGCGAGCACTAGACAAGAAAATATATGTGAGATTTCTGAAGCTCAAATCACTATATGGAGAGCTATTTAACATAAAGGAGAATTCTCATTGGTTTCCTTAAGAATGTGTCCTACAGTAGTCATTAAAAGTTTTTCACAACTTACCTGGTAAGTGCAGGTCCCTGTACCACTAAAAAAAAAAAAACGTTTTCCACAACTCAGTTTAGCCGATGTCAAGAAAGGGCTGTGGGAGGGGAGTGGGAGGAGGAAAGCAAGTGTCATTTCTGTAACTCTCCTTCCCTTGGACGTGTCGTTTCTGCTGCTGCCTCTAACTGGCACCATTTCTTCGTCACCCTGGAAGCTCCTCAAATACTGGAACCATGTGTCATTTTTTGGTCTTCTCAAAATTAACACAGGGCTGGGAACACAGCTCAGTGGTAAAGCACTTTTCTAGCATGCCTGAGGTCTGGCTCTGCCCCACCAAAAAAATAAGGACTAAAATCCTAGCACTGGGTCTGGCAGACAATATACATTTAACACATCTTGCTTTTTTTCTTCTTGGTGAGGAATCAGTACCAGACAAATTAGACCCCAGGACTCTTAACATCTATGAGGGACGTTATCCCTTTGCATAAGGCCTGTGATTTTGCTACAGAAAGTTTGTGTTGCCAGGAATTTAGTTCACAGCATAAGCACCTGCCTGGCAAATGCAAGGTCAGGAGTTCAATCCCCAGTAAGAAAAAAAAAAAGAAAAAGTTTGTGTTAATGGTACTCAGAGATCCAATGGGAGGGAGATCCAAGTTTTCAAAATAAATGAAGGGGAAGATCAGGAAGAATATGAAAGCCAGGCATAAGTGGCACACACCTGTGATTCCAGCACTTTGGAGGCTGAAACAGGAGGATTGCCTAGAGTTAGAGGCCAACCTGGGCTACACAAGCAGGTTGTAGGCCAGCCTGCACCACATAGTGCAACCTTGTCTCAAAAAAAAATAAGAAATATGAAAAATTGGGATGATTACATAAAGTCAAACTATCACTCTAAAGATTATTTTCAAAAAGAGAAAAATATCTGACAATCATCCACTCAATCACAACTGAACTTAGCCATCAGTGACGAATGGCCAGATGTGTGCAATATAAAACTCACACAATATTTCCTATGGAAAAGCCAAGCATGATGGCACATGCCTATAGCAGCTATAGTCCCAGCACTTGGGAGGCTGAGACAGAAGGATTCCCGAGTTTAAGGCTAGCCTGAACCACATAGCAAGACCCTGTCTCGAAAAACAAACAACGTATTTCCTATTAAGTACTTTAACCAAAAATGTTTTATCTGAATTTAATCATGCCTGAATCAGTATTATATGAAGCAGAGGGGTTGCAGGAGCAAGCTAAGTCAATCACATACACACCTAGAAGGTAGAGCATCCTGTAAATCAACTAGCCATGTTCATCTAAAAAAACTCTGTCACAGAAAAAGAAAGAAGCTGAGGCACTCTTCAGGATTAGCAAGGGCAAACAGCCACAGGCAGCACAGGAGGGAGCCTGGATTCTTCCTTGTTTTAAAAGACAACTGGCCGGGCCAGGTGAGCCTGCAATCCCAGCACTCAGGCCAGCACTTGGGAGGTAGAGGCAGAGGCAGTGGTTTGATGTGAGTTCGAGGCCAGCCTAGGTGATATACTGAGTTCACAGCCACCCTGGACTACAAAGCAAGACCCTGTCTGGAGAAAACAGACAGAAGGATAATTATTATAAAAGACTTTGGGGGGACAATTAAGGAAATTTGAATCTGGATTGGGTATTTGATGATGTCGGGGACTGATTATTAACTTTCTTTAAGATGTTAATGTTTTCACAGCTTTGTAAAAGAACCACACACACACACACACACACACACACAAACACACACACAGTGCGCACACACACACACACACACACCCAAAACCCCACACACACAGCAAGGACTCTTCAGCTGAGCTACATCCCCATCTCTCAGTTGCTTTTATTTTTAGAAGTTACTCACTTAGTGAAGGTTAATGCAATTACTTTCAAAAAATATAACTCCTTGCACCCCCGACTATATTTATATACACACATACACACATGTAGGGGAAATAGATGTGACAAAATGAACCATTACAAAGTCTAGGTGCTGGGTATATTGGAGTTCATTAAACAAACTATTGCTTCAACTTTATGTTTAAATTTTTCATAGAGTTGAAGACATAGAGGCAAAATAACAACCAAATTATTTTCTGTCCAGAATGGAAATTTCTTTCACTTGCATTTACAATAAAAATAAGTCACTGGGCCAGGGGGTTAGCTTAGCGGTGTAAGTGCCTGCTTGGCAAATGTGAGGTCATGAGTTTGATCCTCGGCACCAAAAAAAAAGACATAAAACTTTTCGTAAGGCACTTGGCCATTTACTGAGATCTGCTGGGACTCAGACACCCTCCTAGAACAGCCTGGGAACGGCGGAGTCATAGCCCTTTCATTGTCCTTTGACAATCTTAGGATTCACAGTGTGAACATAGGCCCTATCGGCACATTATAGTGAATTACTAATGTAGCTACCTACCATCTTAATTTTTTAGTAAAGTAAAATCCTTATCTTGTTTAGCTGAATTCTAGTAGAGAAACTGAAAGATAGTGTGGCAGATAAAGACCATTCCCATGGGTTCAAACCCATCCCCTTAGAAGTTTAGTTTTGAAGACACAGCTACTAACCTCCTCACGGATTTATTTCTAGGAAGGAAACTACCCCTAACCCTAACTGTTCGACCTCGCCTGAGCACCCTATACTTAAACCAAGCACTGCGTCCACTGGTGTCAATTTGTGCAAGACAACACATTGTGAAGGGCCTCTGCTCTTTGGAAGATACTGATTAATTTTCCCAAGTTCATGTCACCACCACTCTTCAATTCACAATCAAAACAGCTTTGGATAACCTCACAACTTGTGGCATTGCATCTGCATGAAGATAAGCTAGTCATCTGACCTTCAGGGTTTGGTTGGTGTTTTTAATAGCAAAGCAGGTAACACCATACAGAAAACGGATATGAAGGTAATAAAGAGAGATTTGTGGAATCCAGCTACCATGACCTCTTGTTAGAGACAAGAATAAAAGACAACAGCAGATGAAAGCAGTCAGGACCTCAAAACTTTACACACTATCACTTTTTCGTTCCTGAACCCTTTGAAGGATGACAAAGAGCTACTAGAAAATAAATTCGGTACACTAGAACTTTTCCAAAGATAGTCAATCAAGCGAGAGACGCACTCTCCCAGAGTTACTGTATTACTTGGGAAAATTAGTTCCAAGAACTCTTAATTGATTCTCCTCCAAACCCAAAACACAACACACCAAAGCTAAAATCTAAAGGGCTGGGGATTTACCTCAGTGGCATAAGTGCCTGCCTGGCAAGCACAAGGTCATGAGTTCAATCCCCAGTACTACAAAAAAAAAAAAAAAAAAAAAAAAAAAAGCTAAAACATAAAGTAAAAAGTGAATCTGAATTAATAATATATTTTAAAACGTGAAATAACATCTTTCCTTTTGATTTTTGGAAGGAAAACTTTGTTTTGAGCTTTTTTTTGTTTTTGTTTTTTGTGGTACTGGGGATCGAACTCAGGACCTTGCACTTGCCAAACAGATACTTACACCACTGAGCTAAATCCCCAGCCCCTGGCAGGAAAACTTTGGAGTACTAGTATGAGTCAAGCTTCTCTGTGAGAAGAGGAAATGCTTACCGAGGTACAGGGATGCGTTTTCCTTCTTAACATTATCATCTAGGTAGGTTGGTCCCAGGGTGTAAATAGGTGTGGAGCCCATTCCAATGAGGATCTGTGCACAGATGAATAAAGCCACGTAGACCCAGTGGTTGTTTCCTCCCGAGTCCTTCGGGCAGGGAGGAGGAAGCTCCACAGTGGTGGTGGAGTTGCCATTCTGACACAGGCCGTCGTTGGAGGCCGAGGCGTTCAGCTCCTGGATCTGGTAGGGTGGGGAGATGAAGTGAGGTAAGGCGAAGAGCGCAGCCCCGACCGCGATGAGCAGGCCGCCCACCGCCAGCCACAGGGGCCGCCGCCCGCGGCCACCGAAGTAGCTGACGAACACCACCACCACCAGGTTCCCGATGTCAAAGCAGCTGACCAGCAGCCCGGACTCGGAGCTCTTCAGGCTGTAGCGCCTTTCGATGGTGGTGATGACGCTGCTCAGGTAGCCGGAGACCATCAGCGCCTGGATGAAAGTCAGAAAGCACATGCAAACCAGGAAGCAGCGGGAGTCGGTGAGGACCATGTAGAGGCACCTTGTGTCCCGGAGCGGGGCCAGCGGCTCCTTGGTGAGGTCCACCCTGTGGCTGCAGTCCACAGGCCCCGCAGTCCCGTCCGAGGGGGTCGGGGCTGAGGGGCTGGGAGCCAACAGGTCCTGGCCTTGCTTCAGCTCCTGATGGCCCAAAGAATCCAAGCGGGCGAAGGCCGGCTGGACGTCCACTCGCACAGGACTGCGGCTCGGCCGGCAGGAGGCGCTGTTCAGGACCGGCAAACTCTTGGACCTGAAGGTCTCGGGCTCGCCCTGCTCTTGGACAGCTCCTGCCGCGGCCCGCGCCTGCTGCTGCTGCCCTTCCCCGGGGGGCTGCGGCCCAGGACTTCCGTCCATGGCTTTTCGAATTCGGATTGGCTCTCTGACCCCACACCGGGGCTCCCAGGCTTTTCATCCACCGGCACCAGAGCCCGAAGCCAGGCCCCCTCAGTCGTGCCCACTTGGGAGCGGGGCTGGGGTTGGCAGAGCCGCGCGGCCGGGCATCCTCACCAGCAGGCAGGCGCCCAGGACATCCGGGCCGCAGGTGCGGCTCCCAGGCGCGGCGGCCGCGTGCCCCGGGGGGTGAGGGTCCCCGCGGTCCTGCGAGGAGCCCTGCTCGGCGTCCACCCCCGGCCGGTAGCTCGCGGCAGACGCCTCGAGAGTCCCGCGCGCATCCCCGCCGCCGCTTGGCCGGTGGCCCGAAGCCAGCGTGCCCCTGCCCGGCGTGGGGCGCCTAGCACGGCTGTCCGCACGGCATCCCGTCGGCTGCCACGGGGGGCCCGGAGCCCGGCCGCCTGGGACTGTGACACCCTCGGGCGTGAAGCTGCCAACCTGCAAAGCAGAGAGAGCACCGTCAGTGAAGAGCGGCTAGGGCCAGCGTTCCGGCTCCCCGCGGGCCAGCGCTAGGTGACCCCAAAGGTCTCGAGTGGGACGCAGGGGCGAGCCAGCCGCCGAGTTCCGGAGGAGGGGGCAGCTGCCGGCTGCTGCCTCAAGTCCCGGAACAATGAGCAGCAGGCGGTCGCAGAGACGCTCCCCATTGTCTGCGGCGGGCCTGCCCCCGCCCCGCCCCTTTTGCCTTAAACAGTACATTTGCTTTTATATGTTAATAATTATCAACCTGGCAGCTCTGACTCAGAGGCAGTGTCTTTTATGCCAATGAACTAATTGCAACCTTTTCGTCCTCCTACTCCATTACCCAAAATAGAAAATGCCCAAAAGCACAAAGGAAAGTTTTTCTTTCTTACAAACACACAATGCATTCGCAATTTAAAAAGAGAGAGAGAGAAGAAAACTACAGCATAGAAATGTGTGTGTAACCTTGCGCGCTGGCACGTGTGCGCGACTAGATGGGCATCTGCTCTTCATACATCTATTGAAAGCCAAAGGCGGCAGCAAAAAGGTCAACGTGCTTGCCTCTTTATTCCCAAGACTAAAAATAGGCCCCTGCCCGAAAGAACTATTCAGTTACGAACACCAGGGACATCCGAGGCTGTGGCCCGCACCAAGTTGCTAGTGAAAATCGATTTGCTTTGCTGATGGACTGGGAAAGCTGCAACCAAACAAAGAGCTTCTGGCACGTTGTCACCGCGCAAGGCACGAGGAGCCCCCAGTTCCGCGCACGCAGGCCTGCGGGGAAATGAGCCCTGGACCAAGAGCACCCCGCAAACGTGGGTCAGGGGTGCGCGTGCGCGGGGAAACACACACACACACACACACACACACACACACACACACCAGCGTACGTGTACGTGTTGGAACCCCTCGCGGGACTCAGCACTCAGCTGGAAGCGCGCCCCTGGGTAAGCCTGGGTCCTATCTCCGGGAACCCCACTTCACTCCTCGCCCCGGGGCAATATGCACCAGGTGGCAGGGAACCACGCTTCGCTGCTTTGGGCTGCATTCTGCGGCGCGCTTTTGTGATGCTGCCGGCAAAAGGAAGAAAGCTGAGAAAGAAAGCGAGGCGGCCAGGCGGCAGGGGCGAGCGCTCCGGCGTCCCCTCCGCTGTGCTGGGCCGGACCGGCTCCCAGATCCCCCGGCTGCCAGCCGCACGCGAACCCGGGCTTCCCCGCCGCGGTTCCCGCGGGCGCCCTCCGGGGGAGCCCCACCAGCCGCGGCGCCGAGCAGGGAATCCCGGCGTCGGAGCCCCCGCCCGGGCGGGCACCCCGGCGCAGCGCAGACTCGATGGAACCGTGGAGCGCGGAGGGGAGCTTTACCGAGCGCGCCGGGAGGCCGGGATTACCACGTGCGCGCGCGCGCGTGCACACACACACACACACGCACGCACGCTCCCGCGGGAAGGCAGGGCTCCGGGAGACGGCTCGCTGCGCTGCCCAGCTACTCACCAGCGAAGCTGTGGTCCACCCGGCCGAGAGTAGAGCGGCGAGAGGCGGGGGCTGTGGAGGGCCGAATAGTAGGTAGCCGCCGGTGAAGGCCGCGCCGCTCCGGCCTCTGAGGATCAGTGAATGAGGCTGCGACTTAGCCTGAACTCTCCCCCTAGCCCTCGCCTGCCACCCAAGCCTCTCCTCCAGACACACGCGCACAGAGACGCGCCCCGAGAGGAGCGGCAGAGGGCGCAGGCGCGCGGGCAGCCGCCCAGTCCATCCCGCCGGCAGCCAGCCACCCCGCTGCCCTTCCTCTGCGGGACGGGGAGGGAGGTGCGCAGGAGCCCGAGGGAGAGGGTCAGCGGAGGATGAGGAAGAGAGTGCACCAAAGATTTACTAAAGTGCGTTTATTATTTCTGTGTCCTGGGAACCTGCCAGGTCTCACACATCATAGTAGATTCTGATGATAAAAGATGAACGAGAGGATCCCTGGCGTGAGGGGACCTCTGCCTTGTCAGGGAAACACTTATGTAAATGACATCACAGTGCAGTGCATTTTATACACCATTCTACTTACCGGGCAGGGAAGGCATATGCAATGGCACTGGGGCACAGCCCTACAAGTAAACAGGTAAGGGAATTGCTGTGAGACTGCAGAGGTGGGAGACTCAACTGTAAGACTTGCAGAGCAAAAAAAGTCGGCAAGGGTTTCGTAACTTGTAAACTGTCGGGGATGAGGGGCCTGTGACATTCCTATTTCCTAGCCAGAAAGCCGGCTGTGGTGGTGAACAGTAGACTGAAGAGAGACCTCACCATGGACAGTTAGAAGACAACCTCAAGCCAAATGTGATGAGACAGCAGCAGAGAAGGGACTGACTGAAAACACTGAGAAGGTAGATGTGGCCAGCTCTACAGCTGGCATGGTGTAAAGCATGGGCCAGTGTGGCTCAGCTCCCAAGTGTCACATTTGGGTGAGAAGGTGATAGTCTGATAAAAGCAGGCTGGGAGGGGGAAAGATTGTTCTCTCCCCCCACACCCTTGGTCTGGCCTTGAACTCACAGCAATCCTCCTGCCTCAGCCTCCTGACTGCTGAATTTACAGGTGTGCACCACCACGCCTCAATTATTTCCATTTTATATAGGTTGGGTTTGAAAAGCCTCTGGGCCAGCCAGGGGCTTGTGTCCCTTAGCTATTAGACACAGGAGCACAAAGGTTTGGACTAGGGCTAGAGATTAGTAGTCATCCACTCAAGGGTGACCTGAGAAAGGAAGGAAGAACAGGGAAGATCATTAATGTAGAGAAGAGATGTAGGCTAAAGCCAGGCCCTCCAAATATGTAGGGAGTCCAGGAAATATGGAAAGAACCAGAAAAGAGTGAGTGTACTGAAGCCAAAGGCGTAGATGGCATTAAGGAACAGAAGACAATCACCAGTATTAGAAAGAGAGAAAGAAAGAAAGAAAGAAAGAAAGAAAGAAAGAAAGAAAGAAAGAAAGAAAGAGGAAAGAAAGAAACAGCTACACAAAAGCCTGCAGAGAAGTCAAATAGGGTAAAGCTGAGTGTGGTGGTGCAAACCTGTAATCCCAGCACTCGGGAGGCTGAGGCAGGAAAAACATTGTGAGTTAGCGACCAGCTGTTACAAAGTGAGTTTAAGGCCAGCATGAACTGCAATGTGAGACCCTGTTTCAAAAAGACAAAAAAGAAATCAAATAGGGTGGTAACGGAAATAAATGAGACCAATGAAGAAGGAGAGCTGTTACGTGTACCAGTACCATGCTGGCTACTGTTGCCATGCCAAAGCCATTCCATCCTGCCCCGGTCATGCCCAGTGGGGCCATTTTATCCATTTACATGTGTGGCAAGTGCAGAGAGGTCAAGTGAGTTAGCAAACGCACACAGCTAATCTGTAGGTGATGGAAACCCACGTGCTCCAAAAATCTCTTTTAACCCTCAATTTCTACACTGCCCCCTGTGGCTGTGTAGCATCTTGACTTGCCAGGGCACCTTGTGGCTGTTGATTGTTTCACTTTAGTCCAACAATCCCTGTATCTACAGCAGGTCCTTGGAGAACAAGAATGCTCAATGGACGCCAAAGCACAGCTCCGGTGTGCTTGAAGTAAGTACATGCAGAAACAGCACAGATCCGCCAGCTGCCAGACCGACCAGTCAGGTGGAGTGGACATGCATTTCCTCCTTCCCAGTGCCTGTCCTCTCTTCCTAAAAATCTCCTTCAAGTCCTTGTCACTTCTCTATTCACAGTGTAACTCAGCTGCCGCCTCAGCTCAGATTTTAGTCCCTTACGGTTGATAAAGTAGACAAGAATTTGTGGTGCTCCCCCTACCCAAATATTATTCTGAGTTTATTCTGAATTCAAAGAAGCTCAATCTAATACTCATTACCACTTCCTAAATGCTTTGCCACATCCTGTCATTTCAGCCTTCTCTCCTCTCTTCTGACCTCAGCTGCTGTGTCAGTGCCCAACAGAAGGCTTCCCTACAGAGAATCCGGCAGCCATGTCCCTGAGCACGCTGAGTTTACCCATGGCCAACTACCATGCTTACACCGGAAACAGCTCCAAGAACCTGTGGATTTTTTGATTGTCATGAACAGAAAGGTCATGATTTATACATAAAATTTTAAAGATCTAATTGGCTGTTCACACAAGAAAAAAGAAATCGTTGGGTGAGAAATGTTTCCTTTGCTTTTTCTCTCACAGTTCAGTATAACCAGAGGAGGCCCGGAATGTCTCCACCAACTGACCTTCACGTTAACAGAAAAGAAACGGCCCCTGGCTTGTGGCGATGGGTGCACACAGTTGCCTGAACTCAAAGCCTGTCCATGTGGTACCCTGGGAGAGGAAGCAGATGACTGTGAATGTCCTTCAAACTTCAAGGCTTGCTTGTACTTCTCTTAAGTCACTCCAACCTAAACATAAATGGGTTCTTTTCTGATCTTCAGATGTCGAGTGCAGCCTTTGGAGCAGCATAGGAGTAAAAGTGGCTGCTCTGGAAGGTGGGGAAAAGCAGCAGGAGGCCCGCTCTCCCCTTCTTTCCTTCCTGGGCAGAGGGCCGCTTTCAGAAGTCTTCTCCATACGACGACAGAACTGGATATCTTGACCTGCAATGTTTTGTGTGCTTAAAATACAATGCATAGTCATCAGTACCATAATTGAACCAGGTTTCAGTTG